TGGTCCGACAACTGGGCGAGAGGAGCAGAAACCTCATAGAAACCGAACATCCTGAAAGGTATTTAGATCACCCAAACATTATCAGTCTTAAAAATTATAAAAGTTACTCAAAATTCATATTTGGAGACACAGATAGTATTGAAGTTGTTAAAAAATGTAAACAGAATCAATTATAAAAATGTAAAACTCCAAATTTTGCCAAAATATGACAAATGATGAAAAGTGTTGAAAGTCACACATATCAGATCAAATTAGACCATTATGAAATATGAGTGTGCCTATGATGCATCTTAATACATCTTATAAGGACTTGATTAGTTTAGAGGACATGAAATATGGTTGTGGGACTTGGACTGAGAGCATCTGAAATTTTCCTTTATTTTTCGAAATTTTGCATTTTGTATTTATTTAAATCATTTCTCTTTTTATAAACTGTAAAAAAAATTATTCACCCTCCCACCCCACCCTCCCACCCCCTAAACTGTACACATATTGTCCTGATGTTAACAAAATTGTGATGATGATTTCAGCGACCAGATAGCTGTACGGCAGTCCCAGGTTGACAAGTTATATGCTGGTCTTAAAGACTTATCACATGAGAGGAAGAGCAAGTTGGAAGAGGTTCTCAAGCTGTACGTGTTACAGAGGGAGATTGACGATATCATGCAATGGATCGCTGAACGAGAACTGGTGGCTGGCTCACATGAACTCGGACAAGATTATGAACATGTGTCTGTGAGTATGTCAACAATATAAACAAAGTAGTTGCTTGCAAATGATTCAAAGATTCTTCTTTAAAAATTGTTAAAACCTATTTTTGATGTACAGTTTTTCTTTAATGTCTTTAAACTTTTATGTATTTAAGTAATTTATATCCTATTTTTCTTTGTCAAACAGATGCTGAAGGAGAGATTTAAGGAATTCGCTCGTGATACAGAAAGCATAGGAACAGAAAGGGTGTCAGCAGCCAATGAAAATTGTGATCAGTTAATAGCTGCAGAACATTCTGATGCAGCCGCTATTGCGGAATGGAAGGACAATTTGAATGAAGCGTGGAATGACTTATTAGAACTTATTGATACAAGAACACAAATGCTTCAAGCTTCTTGGGAACTTCATAAATTTTACTCTGAATGTAAAGACACCCTTGAAAGAATTTTGGTAAGTTGTGATTCCTGAT